ATCTTTCATTTAATCTCTCTCTCTCTCTCTCTCTCTCTCTCTCTCTCTCTCTCTCTCTCTCTCTCTCTCTCTCTCTCTCTCTCTCTCTCTCTCTCGTGTGCACACACACACACACACACACACACACATCACATGAGCGAAAGGCAGGTACATGTGTGTGTCGACATACACATGCACACAGGAGCGGAGAGACATACCTTACCTAAGACTGGAGACCCCTTGAGTAGCGACTCTCTCTCCTCTGCACTCCAAAGCAACGGGCTCAGAGTACTCTTCGGCATGATGTTCACATAAGGATGCCATTGCGACTTTTCGCCCAGTGCCCGCTCAGCAAGCAGCCAAAGGGTAAGGCCAATGAGGTCCCCCCTGCCTGAGCATACACATATAAGAGCACAAGACATATCATGTCTAATCACTAATTAGTGATTATCCACTTACTCAGACCTCACGATCATGGTTAACATGATCAGAACTCCATCAGTCTCCATGTCTAATTAGTCCTTATCCACTTCCTTATCCACTTATTTATCCACTTCCTTATCCATTTATTTATCCATTTATTTATCCACTTATTTATCCACTTATTTATCCACTTATTCATCCAGTTAATTTATTTATCCACTTATTCATCCAGTTAATTTATTTATCCACTTATTCATCCAGTTAATTTNTCCAGTTAATTTATTTATCCACTTATTCATCCAGTTAATTTCTTTATCCACTTATTCATCCAGTTAATTTATTTATCCACTTATTCATCCAGTTACTTATCCACAAGCACTGCACAAGAAACAGACAAGGATAGACACCATGCACGAAAATAAGAGGAGGCAGAGAGAGAGAGAGAGAGAGAGAGAGAGAGAGAGAGAGAGAGAGAGAGAGAGAAGCAAGAACCCGTTTCCAAGGTTCGACAGCGATCTTGCCGGCAACACAACGCCATTCTCAGTTCGAAATTCAGACCCTCTGTCAGATTGTCACGCTATTTATAGCTGAACGTGATGGGACCAAGTTCACTGAACATTCCATGGAATCCATTTTCAAATTTAGTTTTCCAAGGTGTCTGAGACTCTGGGACAGTGGCACATTAACGTTTAAAAAGTGAAATATCAGCAATAATAATCACTTCAATCCGTTCCGGTTACCCCAGACACCGACTCTTACCCCAAACACTACAGTAGGGAGACTGTCCTCGCTCTGAGGACAGAGGTGAGATTGCGAGAGGGTGACAGGGAGGAGAGAGAGAGAGAGAGAGAGAGAGAGGGAGAGGGAGAGAGAGAGAGAGAGCAGACAAGAGAGAGAGAGAGAGAGGGAGAGGAGGAGGAGAGATCTGGAGGGGGAGGGACTGACAACTGAAACTTGAGAACACAGACAGGAATGATGAACATTGTATCTGGATGTTAGCCATTCATACACACCAATAATTCCAAAAACAAAAACAGGGGGAAAAAAAAAAAAAAAAGTCGCTTATCCATAAGTAGTGTGAGGTCAGCCCCTGTCAAACACAACATAGTTGCTTGCCAAAACACACCCACACCCACACACACACACACACACACACACACAACACTAATCTTGATGTCCGCCAGAAAACAAAAAGAAGGCACAAAACAATAACCTTGAGGTCCTTGAGCGTTGCTTGTTTGGTCAAAAAATGGAGAACAAAAACGAAAAAACTTCAAAAAAGAAGAGACAAAAAGAAAAGAGAGAATAAGCGATCAACAGGCCTAGCTCAGTTGGTACACCCAATGAACTGTTGAATGAACTGTTGGAAAACAGACCCCAGTAAGAATCCAGCTGCAATGAGATGAACAGAAAGAGGAAATAAGTGGGCGGATGGAGCAGAGGGAGGAGGGATAGGAAGGAAGGAAGGGAGCCAACGGGATGAAACATACCCGCAGCTGCTTGACTGATTGTTGGATGACTTGCAACATCGACACCTGTCACGACGAGATGTTCCGGGATTTTCAGCGCCACATCGCCTGCCTGTTAACCCCATAGAGCCAATCAGAACATCAGTGATAGCACCCACTGAAGTATATCAATATATTAGTTATTATTCCTTATTATTATTAAATTAGTAAATTAATTCGTTATTAAATATTAATTATTTATTATAATCAATATTAACTATAAAAACTTCACATTACTATTCCCGTAACTTCTTTGTTTGCCGTCGTGAGTCAAATCCAATGCATATATCGTCAAACAATCAAATCCAATACATATATCGTCAAACAGAGCTGCCCGGTATGTATATACATGACGAAACAGTTTGCCACAGCCCCTCGTTTGTTGTCCTCTTCTCCCTTTTGTCCCTCTCTGCCTAAGGTTTACCGTAGGCAGCTCTGTTTGACTATATAACTCTGTTTGACGATATAGATATAGATATAGATATAGATATAGATATAGCTAGTCACAAAATTATCAGAGCGCAAAAA